CACTGATTCACAGCTACTGACAGTGACCACCGGTATCCCACAGGGGTCAGTGTTGGGTCCCTTGTTGTTTATTCTTTATATTAATGACATATGTTTAGTTTCTAAAACATTGCACTTCATACTATTTGCAGATGATACTAATGTTCTAAGTTTTGGGAAAGATTTAATAATATTAATGGACAAGGTTGAGAAAGAATTAAATGCATTAAAGTGTTGGTTTAACTTAAATAAATTAATGTTAAATTTAAATAAAACAAAATTTATCATATTTACTAATAGAGCAACTACAGTGGATACACATCTCAAAATAAATAATACAGAAATTGAAAGAGCGAATGAAATAAAATTTCTTGGCGTAACCATAGAAAAAAGTTAAGTTGGAAACCGCATATTGACTCAATTAAAGCAAAGTTATCTAAATCATTAGCAGTTCTCTATAAAGTTAAAGAATTTTTAGATGAAAAAGCTTTATATCTTTTGTATTGTTCCTTATTTCTGCCTTATTTCATGTATTGTGTTGAAGTGTGGGGAAATACCTACGAAACCCACTTAAAGCCTTTGTTTATAATTCAGAAGAGAGCAATCCGACTTGTAAACAAAGCAGCTTGTAGAGAGCATACACATTTACTTTTTATTCGTTTAAGAGTATTAAAGTTAAAAGAATTAGTTACATTAAGAACTGCACAATTTATGTATAAAGTGATGTATAATTTGATGCCAAAACAAATTCAGGATCTGTTCCAGATCAGAGAGTGTTTATGATCTCAGAGGGTATAAAATGTTCAGAAAGCCTAAAGTAAGAACTAAAATGAAACAACGTTGTGTTTCTTGTGTGGGGGTTGATGTGTGGAATAAATTAGACCAGGAGCAAAAAGATTGTTCAACAATGGTAAAGTTTAAGGGTTTGTTTAAATCAAATGTGATTAAATATTATGAATCAAGTCAATGAAAAAATGCATAAAACATTAAAGGTCATTATTTTGTTTTTATAAAGCTAGAATGGGGATTTCAGTATATTCACCAAACATTTCAAACATGATGTAAAAATTATGGAATCGGTATGCTATTCTAAAATTTTGTTTAAGTTCAAAGGGTTTGGGGGGCTGGGCTTATAAGCTTCTGCTTCTGCCTGCGCCCATTCTTAGAACTGTGTAAGTTGTGTGTTTGCTTGTAAAACTGCAAATGTTTCTTTGTTATACTATTGTTGTACTATTGATTTTAATTTCTCATTTCTCATTAAACATGTAAACATGTATGACAATATGTACAAATAAAAAAAAAATAAATACAAATTCTTCCTGATAATAACCCCAGCAGAAGGCTGTGGGCTGGATTAGGATTAAATTACCCAGCTGATGGATCTCCTTCACTAACCAGTTAACTACAAACCTTTCCACTAACCTGTCCCGTGGGACCCTCACCATGTGACCCTCATGTCCATGCTGTCTCTGGAGGAGCAGATAGGAGATAAGACCTCCTGTAACCTAAAATGGACCAAAGCTTCCTCCCAGTTTCTCTGTAAGCTGAATTTAACATCAGTTTATCATCATGAAACAAAAGAATAAAGTGGAACAAGAACTTCTATCTTCTATCTCTCTCCTTTTAACTTCTCCGTGTCCCTAAATAAAGGAGACAGACGATCACGCTGCAGCCGCCGTCACTGACCCCGCCCCCTCCCCAAAACCGGATCTCCCTACATTACAACAAGCAGTCTGACTGAGCGCTTCCAGGAGAAATTATAATTAAATTATGAAAATAATAACACGTGTTTGGATCATCGGTTTGGAGGAGCGTCCTCCGATCCTCTCTCTTGTGTGAGCAGGCAGTGTCTCTCTCTCTCTCTCAGTCGCTGATCGAGCGAGCGGAGCACGCAGCACGACAACCCGCTCAATTAACATAATTCACGGCCCAAATCCAACAGAACCGGTCGGGCTGATTCGGTTCCGATTTGGTCTCGGGTGACAACTCTAGCGCTCAGCCCTGCAGTACCACATTAAGGCGGAGGTAAAAGTGGAGGACGCTCACTGACAGATTTGGATGCTGCGCTGGTGCCGCCGTTAAAAAAACAAAACTACATTCCTCTATAATCGATTATGGCGCACTCTTCTACGATGCAGAATCGTTTATGTCCACATCCCGATGCATCGATTATTTGATTATTTTCCTCAGCTCTAGTGTCCACGGCCAAAAATGGTCACGGTAGGACGGTCCAAATAAAAAAAATATTTTAACATAACATTTCCTAAAAATCCACTCAGATTTGTAGTTACGTGTATAATCTTTACGTGTAATTCACGTCCAGAAAAGACGTCCGTTCAATTGTCATTTTGGAACCATTTTTCAAACATGGCGGGACGTGTCGGCCCGACGTCTTTCCAACGTTGGTTAAACGTCCGAATGTTTGCTGGGAAGCTGCAGCAGGTGCATGTGAACGACTGCTTCGACACACCTGGTCTTACCTGACGCTTTAGCTAATGCAGAAGTTTCACGACATGCTGCTGAGGTCATTTGGTCTTTTAAATTGGACGTGTTGGAGCAGGGACATGCCTAAAACCTTAGAGTAGGGTCTAATGGACATGGTGTCCTAAAGAGCAGGACTGGGAAACATTGAGATAAACAAATCCATAATAACCTCACGACCTAACCCCAACCCGTTTCTTCTCTTGTGTCTCTTGCAGGCTGGTCTGCGAGTGGGTTTTCTTTGTTATCATGATCTGAAAACCTGAATCGAATCACGTCCCAGCAATGAGCCAGAAGTATCGAGACGACGCCCGTGGAGGAGCAGTTGAGGAGCGCGCGGAAGACCCAGTGTCTCCTAGGAGCCGACAGCCCAATGGAACCTCTGGAGAACCGTCTGTGCGTCGGTCCTGGAGGCCGTGTCAAATGCTCAACCAGGATGGGGAAATGAATCCTCAGCATCACCATCATCAACGCCATCATAATCACCCTCCTCACCACCACCATCATCCCGCGAGCCGTGGACCTCCTCGTCACCGCCGGCGACCTCCGTCAGGCCAAGGCCAGGCTCAGAGTCCTGGTCAGGCCCCGTCTGTAGTTTCTCCCAGGTCTGATGGGGGTGACAGCCAGGACACTGAGCCCCGCCCTGTGCAGCAACTCCGCCCAGCTGTTGCCCGCTATCGTCGTCATGGTGACCCTAACCCGAGACTCAGAGGACTCAGACAGCGGCAGCAGTTCAGAGAGGCGCCGGAGTCCTCAGCTGGTGCTGATGAGCGAGAAGGTCCAGCAGATGTAAAGCTGCAGGAATGCTCCTCAGCAACGAACCAATCACAAAACAAAGGATCTCCAGCTGCTGATGTTTCTCCGACCCACCTCTCTACAGGTCCTGCTTCAGATAACGTGCAGCTGGAGCCCCAACATGCTTCTGCTGATGCAGAGGAGGACCTTCATGAGCAGAAAGCAGAGCGTGAAGACGACTCAAGGGAAGAGAAAGAGAATACAGAACAGGTGGCGGAAGGTGGAAACCCTCCATCGACAGCTGGCCTCTCTGTCTGCAGTCACGATGAACGAGCAGAAGAAGAAGCAGGAAGGGTGGAGGAGGATCGGGAGGATGTGATGGAGCACGCAGAGGAGGATCCTGCAGCTCAGGGAAGTGAAATTACAGACGTCTGCTCCGACACGGAGAGCGCCGCCTCGCTCAGCATGGATGGACCGCTCCATAGCCCCCCACCTCTGCAGTCACCAACTCCCCCTTCCTCCCCCGATGTCCCTCCTTTCCCTCAGGTGGACCACTTCAGCGAGGACATCGGTTTGAGCTCTCTGCCTGACAACAATCCTTTACCTGAAGAAGAGGAAGACGACTGCTCTGAATCGTGTTCCTTGTCCCACTCCACATCCTGCTCCGAGTCTCACCCTAAAACCTATGCAGACTTTTACACGGAGTCCCACCAACAACCCTACGGAGAGCCCGCCTGCGAATCGTACCCCGACCCCAAATGCCATCCCAACTCTTTCCCTGAGCCACTTAAGACCTCCTACCCCGAGTCACACCGGGATCCGTGCCGGTCGTCGGGTCGGAGGACCGAGGCTAGCAGGGCCCAGTTGGAGTCACGGCCGGAGCCCTCCGTCAGTCACAGACTGAAGAATGTTCAAAAAGGAGCCTCCTCCTCCCCCGAGGGATCCCATCCAGCTCCGAGACAGAGTAGAGACCGCGGATCGCGTCCCTTCACTCTGGATCGCTCCGTTGGCTGCCGGCTGCATCACTACGACGGGCAGTCCGACAGCGAGGGCGACGGCGCCGATAAGAGCCCTCTTTCCAGAAGTGGCAGGGTTCCATCCAGGCAGCCACAGAACCAAGTCAAGACCTCGTCACCCGGGCAGTGCTGCTCAGGTGGAGCCAAAGGCGAGCGGAGTGTGGTGGGTCTCTCAGGGGAAGCTGCAAAGGGCTGTGGAGACGCCATCAGCCTGGCGATTAAAGACATTAAAGAGGCGATTGAGGGCGTGAAGACGAAGGCGGTGCGCTCCCCCTACACGCCCGATCAGCCCGTGGAGCCGATCTGGGTGATGAGACAGGAGGTCAGCCCCACGGAGGAAGCCTTCCCCCTGCAGGCTTCATCTGTTAGTATGACTCCGCCCATGAGTCCAGATACCTGTCTCTGTTGTCCTGTCTACAAACACGTGTAACCTTTCTAGGATCTTCACTTTTTAGGTTTTCTCTGAAGTCCCTTCAAGTGGGCACTTCATGAACCTCTTTCTAGGGTCAAACTTTGAAAGACCACCAGAGAACAAGAACATTTCATTTGATATTTGTTCTTCATCTTTTCTCAGACTTCTCCTCACTCCCCTTGTCAGTCGGCCTCGGAGTCTCCGACTCGCTACGCCTCGGGTCCGATTCCTGATAGTGTCAGTCCTCTGATGGCCGAGTCATCCAGAAATCCCAGCCTGCCGCAGCCACAACACGACCACCACCACCACCACCAAGGTCGTCAGACACAGTCCAGGCCCCCGCAGACGTACACGCCGACAACACCCACGCAGCAGCCATCGGGTCAGCCTCCTGCCCAGGCTCGGCCGCCGTCGCCCTCTCAGAAACCGTCTGCCCAGGAGGTGAGTCCACGTCAGCTTTACGGCACCGCCGAACACCTCCTTCTGATGACTTTCCTGATGCAGGTCATGTGACACTACAGGAAGGACTTTGAGGAGTTTAGTTAAAAGCAACAAGGATGTTTTTCTGTTTTGTGACCTCTCAGGCTCGTGGAGCGCTTCCGCCTTTTCCCACATTCGTAGACGGTGAGTTTAATCCCGCTTCCATCATCAGCTTCGTCTTCGTTGTTTCATTCTAAACTCATCAAGATGGAAACTTACAATGAAAACTCGGTTTGTTTGGGTTGGTCGTTTCACATTTCAGTCGTACGATTCAGTTGTTTTGTGTAGTTCCATCAGATATCATAACTGGATCTGGTTCTTGCAGTGCCGGGACCGTGCGACCCCGAGGACCTGATTGATGGCATCATCTTTGCAGCGACCTACCTGGGCTGCACCCACCTGCTCTCCGAGAGGACGCCCTCGAAGAGCGCCCGCATGCAGCAGGCCCAGGAGGCCATGAGCCGAGTGCGGGTGAGAACTGACTAGAACATTTTAGATTCAGCGGAATAACGCGTGTCCTTGTTTCTAATCCCTCCATGAGGCTGATACCTTAACCACGCAGTTAAAGCACCGCTAATGTTCCTCTGCATGGATTTTATGGGGATTTCATAACTTAGTTCTTTTTTTACTTAACGCAGTAAAAATGTAGTTGTTTACCTTGAAGCTGACATCAGAGCTCGTCGGTGTTGGTGGCGCCACCTCCGTTCCGTTTATCCGGCCCTGAACGGACTCCCCGTTTACTTATTAACACCCTAATCTAATCTCAGCTTGATTTATACTTCTTCGTCAGCTCCTGGAAGGAGAGGCACACACGCACTGACAGACGCTTTGCTCTCAGACTTCTCCGTCATATGGAAAGTGTTGCAAAACAATTCCTCGCCAGGACAACAGAGGGCACTGTTCTGTGGTATCCTGCCACCGTTACACTCAGTTATCCGGTCCACGATAGTGCCTTTACTAATGTGTTTATATATTTCAGAGACTTTTAAACTTGGACAAATTTGTTCTTCATTCTCCTCCACCCCTTCATGTGGTCCATTCAATTCAATTCAATTCAAGTTTATTTATAAAGCGTCAAATCACGACAAGAGTCGTCTCAAGGACCTTCACATAATAAACATTCCAATTCAGGTCAGTTCATTAAGCCAATCAGAAATAAAGTTTCCTATGTAAGGAACCCAGCAAATTGCATCAAGTCACTGACTAGTGTCAGTGACTTTACAGCAATCCTCATACTAAGCAAGCATGCAGCGACAGTGGAGAGGAAAACTCCCTTTTAACAGGAAGAAACCTCCAGAGAATCCTGGCTCAGTATAAGCAGCCATCCTCCACGACTCACTGGGGATCGAGAAGACAGAACACACACACACACACACACACACACACACACACACACACACACACACACACACACACACACACACACACACACACACACACACACACACACACACACACAGTAGGGGTTGTATCAACTTGTCTACTAGTCGACTTCTCTGCTCTATAGTGACTTTTTATGCCTGTCCTCGACTCGTCACTGTCACGTGATAATGACCGACAAGATGCAGTCCACGGAAAAGACAGAAGGTGACAAGCTCCTGCGCGTTGGGAGGCGACGCGCTGTGCCAGAGCATCGGCACTGACACCAGCTATAAAACGGACATTTAACCAAATTGTGACCTTTACCCTCTTGCAATTTAACCTTCCCCTCACCCCCATCCTAACCTCATATTAACCAGCTAGCACATGCAAAGCTCTGATTGTTGACGCGCTCCAGACATCTGCGTCCTGAGCACGGCCACAGTAACATTATCAAATCAGGTGTCGCCACCTCAAAAACTAATTTAACACGCGATTGTTCATGTCGGATCATTTCCTTTTATGTTTTCTGTCTTTTATTTGTGCCTGATGCGTTTCGCTGCTGTGGATCGGGGCACATCACCTGTTTTGTCCTCCGGTGACTTTACTTCACCGGCGAGCAGCGCACACTCCGCTGTTTTTGCGGTCGGTAGATCTTTTAGAACTGCAGTTCAAAGGTAACTCATGAGGTGAATATATATGAACCCAGGTAGCAGTTTCTCTTTAGGATTGAGAGGAGATGCAGGAAGATAATAAACAGACAGGACAGAAAAATAGTCAAATAAAAACAAGTTAGTTTTTGTACCTGCTGTTGCAACAAACAGACACCATTGAAGGTAATCAAAAGTGAGGAACAGAAAATGAAATAATTATTTTAATGTTTAGAGCAGCAGGAACTCTGAGAGGCTGCAGGCGCATCAGTGAGTTTGCGGCCGCTGCGCAAGGGGAGGGGGGAGAGGGCTGAAGCAGAAACTACCGTTGTTAAAAGAAATGTGTTTAGGTCCAGGAGGGGGAGGACCCAACCTTACCTGGATGTCCCATGTCTTATATATTCTGGAAGTTGTGCAAATGCAGGGATGGGCATAGATATTCTGCTGGGGCGGGGCTGGGTTGGTGCCCTCGGGCTCCGTGAGGCTCTGTAATACTGCTGCTTTGGGCCCTGGCAGGATGGTCTGGGGTCTCCATGCCCTGGGTGGCAGTTTGACAACAGAGGTGCCTATTGGAGCCAGTAAGGGAGCTGGCTCCCTGGAGGGCTAAGCCCAACCAGCCATTCCTCCCCATCCCCGCATATTTCTCTCCTCCTGCTCCCTCACATCATCACACAAACATACACATAGGACCTTGGGGGGTGGGCAAGTCAGGGAGTGCGGGTATGGACCCCATTTCCGCATTCCTGTGGCAACCTGCCCCCCAGTTTTATTTGCACCTTATACACTTACACTGACGACATTCCACACAAACACACACTTAGGGCCTTGGGAGTGAGCACATTCAACGGCATTTGGCAGGGGGATATTTCAGCCTCCTCCCGAGTGCCGGTGCCCACTTCCAATTTTAAACCGCACTTAGACACTGATGGCTGAGGGTGTAAGTGGGGTGGTGCGGTGGCATCAGCTGACATATGCCGGATGATGCCCGCACTGCCCACTCACCACAGCCATGGAATACACCTCATGATCACACAACACTATAATGGAGCAGGTGGAGGGAGACTAGGGGTCTTAGCCACCTCTGTTGTTGCTAGGCTTCCTGGGGCTGGAGGCCAGGAGGGAGATCTGGCCGTCTGGTTGGGGTCTGGGGTGGTGGGTTGCTGTGCTCAGCGTTGGGCGGGGGAGCCTGCTCATCAGCACCCCAGCAGAAATGGTCAAACTCTGGTTACCGGTGATGGTTGTATCCCATGTGCAGCAGTACCGGGACCAGAGTTAATAGGGTGTGTATGGGGAGCATGAGTGAGTGTCCGGCGTGCATTTTTGTAAGTCTTGGGTTGTATGTGCATGTGTGAGCATGAGGGAGGGAGTGTGTGTGACTGTGTTTGTGTATGACTGTATATGTCAGGTGGGGCCTTTGACTCCTCCCCTCTCCTGGAACTTCTCTTGATGATATAGATCTTCGTCCCCCCTCCCCCTGCCACACCTGGTGTGAGGGGTTGTGCCATGGTCTGCCTGAGTGTTCGTGGCAACCGGGTCTGGGAGTTTAAGATTTTGGCATCTGCCTGGTCAATCCCGGCGGCTGCCTGGTGGGGTCTGGGTCCCTGGGCTCTGCTGGGTCCCCGGCGGGGGTGGTCGCCCCTGGGTCCCGGGTCGCTGGGTCCCGGGTCCCGGGCTCGGCCGGCTAGGGGGTGGGAGGCTGCGGGCGGGCCTGTGGGCTTGCCGCTGATATCTCCCGGGACTCTGCCGGCTGCTGGTTGTGGCCCCCCGGGGCGATCCTCTGTGCCTCTCGAGGGGGGCGGGGGCCTTCCTGGTTGCAGTCTCCTTGGGGTTCCTGCGTTCTGGGGCAGCGCCTGGATCTCTGGGACTTGGAGCTCCCCCCGTCTCCTGCGCATCTTTGGGGGGCGGATCTGTGGTCCCTCACACTCTCTGTTGGACGCTCCTATAGAGAAACCTTAAATAAACAAGCGCGTGTACACACACAGGTGCTCACATGGTGCTCTCATAAGTATGGGCTTGGGCACGTTCAACACAGGTCTTAAGACTATGGTGGGCACTTAATGCACTGTGATTTATTATCGTGATTCTTCAGTTAAGCAATGTTGATTATATATTTTTTCATCAAGTTGACGCAGTGATAGCTTGATCTTGTTGTATTGTTGTTGTGTCCCTTTTTTTTGTCCTTTTGCTTTTTTTTTGTCTTTTTCTGCAGGTCTAGAAGCAGACTCTTGTTCATTGTTTATTTTTGTGGATCCCTCTCCCCACCTTTTCTTTTCCTTTCTCTTTCACCTCTGTCTCCGTGTCTGGTCGGAATTACCAAGAATTCAACAACAGTAACAATAAACTTTTAAGTATCAGGCGTGACATTGAAAGCAAACGCTTTGATGCTCCACCTGAGAGTAAATCTGTAAGGCTTGTCACCAGCATTCAGACACAAATTCTGCTTGCTTCACAGCCAGACAGGACACGGTAAAAAAAAAGAAAAAAAAGAAAAGAAATGTGTTTAACTTTGAAAATGTGGGCGCAATTTTAATTGTCAAAAACTCCAGCGAACCAACCCCCCCCCACCCCCCCCCACCCCCCCCCCCCCGCGCGCGCGCGCTTCAGGTGTATGATGTCATCAACGACTAGTCAAAGTCGACTAGATTTTCATTACTTGACTGTCGAATTAAAAAAAATTAAGTCATGCAGCCCCTAATACCAAGTAGTGTTTCTATGGTTACATTATGATTTCTTAGTAAATATTCTATTTGGTGAAAGATAAACTTTATTGTATTTATCCTAGTGGATCTATAATTAAACGGGTAAACTAGTATTAGCACATCCAACGTCAAGGAAAGCAAAACGTTATTATCAGGAGAGGGAGAATGTTTAAGTGGTTAGCAGCAGTGTGCTAGACGATGGCCCCCTCCATGAGGCCACCACAGCTCAGCAGAACATCGTTGTAGCTTCTTCTGGGGATAAAAACACTTAGAGAGAAAATAAAGTTAACAGCTGAAATAGCAGGAAATAATACAGTTAAAGAGCAGACTGTAGAAGAAAGCAGTAGAGTGTGAAAAGTGGTCAGTGTATCCTCCAGCAGTCTAAGCCTATAGCAGCATAACTACAGAGATAACTCTGGATAATCTATCCTATTTAGATGGAGGCATGTTGGAGGCAGGGCAAGGGAGAGTCGTCTTTACCGACTGTACACTCCACCTCCCTGTAATCCCCCACTTGTCCAGATTTAGGCTAACATCAGATTTTAACCATAGGCCCTATCAAATAAAAATGTTTTAAGCCTATTCTTAAAAGTAGACAAAGTGTCTGCCTCATGGACTAAAGCTGGGAGCTGGTTCCACAGGAGAGGAGCCTGATAGCTAAAAGATCTGCCTCCCATCCTAATTTTAGATATTCTGGGAACCACCAGTAAACCTGCAGTCTGAGAGCGAAGTGCTCGGTTAGGAACGTATGGAACAATCAGAT